GGGGGGGGGGGGGGGGGGGGGGGGGGGGGGGGGGGGGGGGGGGGCCTAGGAAACGTGCCTTTTTGAGCTGAGCTTTGAAGAAAGCCAGATATTCTAAGAGATGAAGTTACGAACCAGGAACTGATATAAAACACTGTGTTTGAAAACTCTTTATAAGCTGACCCTCTCCTACCTTTCCAGGCTTCATATACCTTTCTAACCCCTCTACATACTCTAGGTTCATTGAAAACGGCCTTTTTGCTGTTCCTCTCACAAAGACATTGCGTCTCCCGACTCTTCACCGGCTGTCCCCCAAACCTGGAGTGCTCTGCCTCTTATCTCCACCTCCTGGCTTCCTTCAAGCCTCTGCTAAAACCTCACCTTCTGCAAGAAGCCTTTTCAGGTACCCCTCAATGCCAGAGCCTCTCCTCTGGGAATACCTCCAATTAAACCCGAATATATCTTTTATGTTGTTTGCATGTCGTCTCTCTCATTGCCTCCCCCGACTCAGAGTGGTTCATGGACGTTTTTTTGTATCCTTGGCTTCACGTCAAGTGCCTGCAGACTGACCGATTGACTTAACGTGCTTGGGACAGAAAGACCTATGAAAGAAACTGTCCCCAAGGCTGTGACATTCCATAGGGGAGCCATGTTCTCATCCATAAAAGTATATCCAAAATCGGTGTTTTTTTTCTTCTATTTTCTAATTTCAAATTCTCCAACTATGTTATTTTTTCCAAAGTTGAGGTAGGTTATTTTCTGCTAGAACATTTTCATACACAACTTCCTCCACATTCTTCAAAAAGCTAAAAAAAAAAAATCTAACGTCTAATACATAAACCACCCTGACAATATGTTCATCCCAGTAGCATCAGTCTAGAAGAGGGACAAGTTAAGACGACTTGGTAAGTCTGTTTAGCTTTAAGTATTCAAAATTCATTTCCTAGAGTGTTAGTAAACCTGGAACTATGGCTGTCCTCGGGCCCGCTTAACTTTTACTTTTTAAAGCTTACTTAAAGGGCCCAGGGGATCTTTTGCTCGTTTTCGGTGCTGAGATAGGAAGCTTTAACCCTCCCCAGAGAAAAGAGCAGGTTCCAGGAGTGGGCAAGCTGTGAACAGTGGCGTTCCTCGGAATCTTCTCGGTCCCCAAAATGACAGGTGAGCCTTGGAGCCTCCCGAAGCCTGGGAGAGGGTACAGAGGGCCGAGGTCAAGCGGCAGCTCCCTGCACCCTGCTCCTTCTCGGCTCAGCAGAGTCCCGGGGACAACCCCAGCAGTAGTAGCAGCGGGCGCCAGCCGCGGGTCTCCTTGCTTCTCCCTTCCCGCAGCCTGTTCGCGGGTAGCCTCTGGCCGGTGCGTGCCCAAGGAAGATGGGATCGGGTTACCTTCGCTGGCAATGGGATGAGCTTGGCCTAATTTGTACAACTTCTCTTGCACTGACTGGAGTTCTTACCGCCCTCCCTCCCCCCTTCCTACTCCCCCCCGCCCCATCATCCCAGAGGCCTCCCCCACCCATCCACCCTCCCCTCCCACCCAGCCTCCTCTGCTCGCTGCCGCCGCGCTCGCCTTTCCAAAGCTCCCAGAGGGAAGAAGGCGTGTCCTGCCTGCCTGCCCGCCCGCCAGCCCGTCTTGCAGCTCCCGCCGCCGCTGCTGGAGGAGCAGGCGGACTGGAGCTATAAAAGCGCTGGCCCGGCGCCGGCTCCGGCTCCATTTACTGCCTCGCGCGGCGAGCAGCCGAGAGCGAGCGAGCGAGCGAGCGAGCGCCGCAGGCGGGTTGCGGGCGGCGAACCTGGCCGGAGCTGAGGGCGCAGCGCTCGGGGCTGCCCAATGCGTGCACAATCTGCTGCTGCCGCTGCCGCTGCCGCCGCCGCTGCTGCCGCTGCTGCCCCCGCCGCGTCTCCGCAGCCGCCGCTGCCTCCGCTGCGGCTGCCGCCGCCTCCGCCGCTCCCCGAGCAATATGCTGGAGCCACAGAACAGCTAAACGGAGTTTCCCCACCGCTGCCTGGGCTGGATTGCAGCGCTGTCGTTCCTTATGAAGAAGACACAAGTAAGTAGAGAACGCGCCCCGCGCCTCGTGCCCCCTTGGGCTGGGGAGCGCAGCTCCCGGAGAGGCCAGTATGTATGCCCCAGGGTGGGGAGAATCTGCGCACCGGGTCAGGGATTTGGAACCCCTCCTCCCTTCCACCACCTAGGGGAAGGTGTTGGTGGTGAGAAAGAGAAGGATGGAGGTGCCTAGTTCAGGAACCCAAAGACGAGGGACTAGGAATTTGCACATTGCATTGAGAACCGAAGCTCCCGGAGAGCTGATTGTTGCATTCGCCTCCCTAGCAATTTGCTCGGTGCCCGGCACCTAGTAGGCGCTTAATGAGTGAGTGCTTGGCGACTGATCTATTGATTGATTGGAGAGGCAAGTCCCTTTTTTTTTTTTTTAAGTTTGGAAAAGAACGGGAGACTGGCTGTCAGAGCAGATCTTTCTCTTAAAGATTGGAGCACCCGTCTCCCGTCTTTCCAAAGGGGCGTTAAAAGTTAGCCAGGGAAGACGTTGATTTTACTAAGGGGAAATCTCCACGTGGATCCCGGCAGCTTATGAAACGAAATCCCCGCACCCCAAACGAACACATGCACATGCACACACACATATGCATACACACACACACACTCGTACGCACTCACACACCTTTCTTTGCACACTCCCGAAGTCCGTGGAGGTCAGAAGCTTCTGAAAGCAATGTGCCTGCAAAGCAGAGCATGCAGCGCCCCAGATTCTCTCAGACTTTTGGAAATGGATTGGCCTTTTGCGGCATAGGACACCACACAGCTCTGCTGAAGACGGGCAAATCAGACCCCGGGGCGAGATAGCTCCTGGAAGCAATTGATTGCTCCTAGAGAAGTTTTGCTAACTGTGTGTGTGTGTGTGTGTGTGTGTGTGTGTGGCGTGTGTGTGTGTGTGTGTGTGTGGCGTGTGTGGCGTGTGTGGTGCCTGTGATTATGGTATGTGTGTATTTTTGTGGTATGTGTGTAAGGTGTGTATTTGTGTGAGAGGGGTGCGTGTGTGTGTGTGTGCGTGTGTGTGTGTGTGTGACACGATGCCCAGGAAAGGCCAGGCATTACTTTTTTACCAGCCCAAGAATTCCCAACCCCACCGTACTATACCGGGCGGAGGGGGATGGGGAGGTGAGGAGGCAGAAGCCAAGGAAAGTGTTCCTTAAAGCTATAATCAGAGTTCCTGAGATTACAATATAAAATGCTATTTATTTTTAGTCGGAGCTGTGATTGTATCAGTGCCTACACCTATCTAGGTCTGCGTGTAATTTATAGCCTTAGAGAGAGATTAAGTGATTTGCTTACGGTCACGGAGCTAATGCTATCAGAGACCGGACTTGAACCCTAGGCTTCCTGATGGCAGGGCCAGCCCGCTGCCAGCGTTGCTATATTGCTATGCAGTCTCATTGAAGTCTAAGAGGTCTATTAGATTGTTAATTTTAGGTAACGTTGAGTATCTGTATACACAGCACCTAGCATTATGCCTGACACATAGTAGGACGTTAATAAGTATTTGTTGATTGCGTCTGCGTATAGCACTGTTGAACTCTAATGCTGTGTCGGCTTTTTTTTTTTTTAAACTTGGTGTGGGTGTTTAAAAGGGAGTTGTCTGAGCCGTTATTTTGAATGGGTCTTATTTCTGGTTAGCCATTCTAGAGACAGTTTATTGGAACCACTTTGCAGTCTTACTCTCTCACCCCAGAGTGAAAGAACTGATATATTGGCTGCATGTTCTGTAATTGCCTCCTTTTTACCCTCAGGAGTTAAACAGGCACTTACAATTCCTGAACTGAAAGGGGAAGATTTAAAGATTTAAAAAAATCTTTTTTTAAAGTGGGAGCTGCAATATTCTATGAAATCTACAAAAACGACAATTCCCCTCATGCTTAAGTTCCACTTGGAAAGAGATTTACCTTTAAACAGTTTGGTGTCTTCAGATTCTGCTAATTCTGGGTCTAGGGACAATACTGAGTCCATCCGTTAATCTAGATAGGGGCAGTCTAGACTAGTGTTCTGTACTATCCAAAGAGAAAAGGATACTTCTGAGGGGAGTAGCCCCTCAGACAATAGAAACATCATGTATTGCATTTTTTTTTTAAAATAGAGCTGTAGGAAGCTAATTTTAATGTTCCCTTTCCTTAAAGGTAAGGTATAGTCTACTGGGTCATCTTCAGGACGTGTTATTGAAATGTAAATGTTGGAAAAGAAATGGGCCCTGAAGAGCTGCTTACACCAGAGAGGCTTTAAAATAGGCTTGTTCTTAGACTGGATGGGGAGGGTGAGTCAGAGAAATTCCTTCCCAAACTAGAAGCTCCTCATATAAATGGGAATAACATATGTACAGACTGGTAAATCAAGATGCTTCTAGTAAAGGTAAAATGGTTAAAATGTGCTTATTTAAAAGAAGCAGTTGGAAGCCACTTGGAGATCATAGATATAGAGAACTCCGGAGGCAGTCAGCTTAATCCACACTCACCCCCTCCCCCATTTTTGTTGTGGTTCAATCATGGCTGACTATTCATGCCCCTATTTGGGATTTTTTTTTTTGACAAAAATACTGGAGGGGTTTGCCATTTCCTTCTCCAACTCATTTTACAGATGAGGAAACTGAGGCAGACAGGGATATGTGACTTGTCTAGAGTCACACATCTGATAAGTAGCCAAGGCCAGATTTGAACTAAGGAAGATGAGTCTTCCTGACTCATCTGACATGCACTCTATCCACTCTACCACTTAGCTGCCCCCTTTTCCACAGTATCACACTTTATTTCCCAAACTGACAAGCTGATAAACACCCAACCCTATATCCTCAGGACCTAGCTTTAGAGCTGAAACAGGCCTTCAGAGGGTCTGTAGTCCACCCCTCTTCCTCATTTTGCAGGTGAAGAAATTGAAGCCCAAGGGAGTCAAATGACTTGCCCAAGGTCACACAGTCAGGATTTGAAACTAGGTCCTTTGACTCCAGTCGCTGCCTTTTCCATTTTTTCTTTCTTTGAATCCACAGCACTTAGCACAATACTTGGCCCATGGCAGAGGCTTAACAAATGTTGGTTGACTGACTTAGTGACAGGCACTGCTTCACATGATTATGTGCTTGCTTTGTGGAATTAATGTGAGCTCTGTAATCTCCTTTATGGGTGTAGGATTAAATGGAATGATTCCATTAGGGACTAGAAAGAGCTCGATCTACCCTGAAAAGCTGCATGGTGTTAATGCCTCAGGATGCTGCTGGCTGGGGACACTGGAGACAGTTAAATATTTTAGAAATGTGACCTGTAGGAACATGTTAAAAGCTTGTGGCCTCTTTGGGGAATTGAGTGGTGTGGTAAAGGGCTTGTGGCCCGATCCGAGGAGTGCCCTTGGTGAATGGATGCATTCATCACCAGCGAGTAAGTGACCTTCAAAGTTTCCTTTTGGGTTCCTCCTCGTAATAGCACATTCCTGCCACTGTCAGAGGGAACACTGGAAATTAGCGTGAGATAAAGTGGAACATCTCCAAAGGAAAAAGAGGGGGAGAGGAAAAATTGTCTTCTCCTTTTCACTGGCTAATTCTCCAAGCCAAAAGGGTTTTTTTTTTTTTTTTTTTTTTAATAATGTCCCTCTGCAATATTGCATAAGTGGCCAGCCAACATGATTCTGTTGCAAGTTTCACGCAATGAGGTTTAGGACTGGTTGGTCCCTCAGACACAATCTTGTCTTTGCTAATTCTGCATTTCACGTTTAAATTGTTAGTTTAAATCAGGTATTCTTCACTTGGGGCCTGATAGATTTCAAGGTGAATTGAGATGTCAAAGGAATATTTACATCTTTGTTTTTACTAATTTAGCATTTTTTTGAATTCTTTTTATAAAAACGTTGTTCTGAGAAAAGCTTCACCATATTGCTAAAGGTATCTGTGGTGAATGAAGAGAGTTGAGTACTCTTAATCTAGAAGGTCTTTTATTTCTGTGGTTAATGAAGGGCCTAACTGACCAAGGAAATCACAAATTCAGTCCCTTTCACTAAACCTTCTGTGCTGCTTTAATATTTGCGAAGTCCTTTATATACATTAAGCTCCAGACTAGAACTTTGTGAGGTGGATGTTGTAAGGACCTCTGGGTTTCCTCAGATGAGGAAACTGAGGCAGGCAGCAGTTACGTGACTTGTCCATAAAGGTCACAGAACCAGAGTAGAATCATACAATACTCATTCAAGTAATCCAAATCCCTGCTTATCCCTTCCCCCAAAATCCTTTATAAAACAAAGGAAACAATGCTTCTTTGGGCTTATACTGTTGTCATTTGAACTATCCCCTCTAGGATTTCACTACCTTGGATTTGGAGTCAGAATGACCCGAGTTCAAATCTAGGCTCAGGCACTCAATAGCTTCTGGATCCTGGACAAGTCACTTAATTTTTGTCTGCCTCAGTTTCCTCATCTGCAGAAGGGGAGTAATTATAGCACCTACTTCTCAAGGTTGTTGTGAGGATAAAATTAGATAATATTTTTGTAAAGTTCAAAGTACTGTATTATTGTTACTTAGTTATTTACATATTGTTTACTAATTAAAATAGCTTCTTGAGGGCAGACTTTTTTTTTTAACTTTGTATCCTCAGGGCTCAGCATAGTGCTTGGCACGTAGTAAACACTTAGGACATTAATGTATGATTATTGATTGATTTCAATCGAATTGAGTCTATGAAAATACCTTTAATATCCAGATGTGTTTTGATGAGTGACACAGCATGCGTTTAGTACATTTGACAAAATTCTTATGGGAAGAGTTTACAATAATTGTTAGATTCAGCACTGACAGGGGCTACTGAGATCATCTTAATTTAATCTCTTTATTTTACAAAAGAGAAAGCTAGGCTTCCAGAGAAGATAGCTGATTTGCTGAAGGTCAAACATCAAGTGAGCAAGAAGCCCAGATTTGGAATCCAGCAGCTGAGCTCGGGGTCTCTGATTCCCAAATTCTTTCCATGTTCTTTCCACTATATGCCATATTGCTTTCTTAGACTTGGC